TTAGTTGCAATTATTTATGAAAAGATTAAATGCATTATAATTTACAGTACCTCATACATAAAGGTTAGAATTGTTATTTAGAAAAATAAGTAAGTTTTATTGTTATTTTTATTTTGTTTTATTTAGCAGTAAAATTTTATTTTTATTTTGCATTAAACGCAGTCAAATCTATCAAATAATATAACTATAACTTCATTATCTACGTGAACACTAGACTGTAATGCTAGCAGTGTCAAGGTCATGGTTCGATTCTGGGAGTTCATGAACTTCATGCAATAAAAGCATCAGCCAAATGCATAAACCTAAACATAAATCTGCCATTTATCAGTGTATGTTTTAAAATGTATTTAAAAATATTTTAATATAAAAATTATTATTTAAAAAATATTATTTCTTACTTCATGCATTTAATTTTTTTTGTTTATTGCTTGTTACACAGTGTTACACAAATCAAGTTTTTATACTGTATTTAGACGTATTTTGCAATAAAAAATAATATAATAATCATTAAATAAAATCGAAATAAAAAAGCCCATGTATTAATTAGTTATTTAGCTTTAATGAAAGTGCAGGAGCACTTGTCACATTGTTATGATGATCGTGAGTGTTATAGATAGGGCTGGGTATCGAGTTCGATACTTTTTAGGCACCGACCGAATTGCCTCGATACCATCGAGTATCGAAAAACGTCTCGTCGTTCGGTACCAAATTTCGATACCTAAGGGGTTAATCTCATCAGCGTCAGTGAGCCAATAAGCCTGCAGCACTAGTGTTCGACTAGAAGAGGTGCGGCGCAGATCAATGTTTGACATCCGCGAGAGCGATTCGAAAGCGCACGGAGCAGTCTGCTCTCTGTAGCTCTCGTGGTACTGTAATACCACCAGTATAGAGTAGCGCGGGAGCTGCGTGGAGTTCCGATCATATGCAGATGTCCGTTCATACTAACGTTACACGACCGAAAGCGCGTGTTATGTGACCATTCATGCAAACTGTAGCATCATGCTACATAAGACAATAAATAAGATTTATATTCCGCTTTTACTCAAAACTCAATTTAAACCACCATCGAGTGTTTGTAATAACTTCCGATTGCC